AGCTCTATTTTAAATTAAAATCAAATAGAAGTCTTTTTTTTTTTTTTTTTTTTTTTTTTTTTTTTTTAAATACTTTTATTTGCAATTAAAACAAGTACATCAACATCAAATTTTTTAACATAATTTTGAACACCAAATGAAAACGAAAGGTTTTGCAAATGTACATAATGAAGTCATGTATTTGATTATAAAAAAAAAAATTGCAAAGGATGACAGTAAAAGGGGTGAAGGTCAAAATCAAATAGAAGTCTGCTCTATGTATTGGTTGGACAATCCTCTCAAAGTAAATTGAATTTTCAACATTCAATTTTTTAAAATTCAAATATTTTATACAGCTACAAGTTTTAAATATTTGAATTAGAATTTTAAAAATTTAAAGCTTCTATTATTTATATCATCAAACACAGTTTACTGTGGTGCTTATAATATTATATATATATATAACAAAACGTATATTATAATCTATTTTTCTTGTTGTAGCTATTAAAGTTCACTCTTATTTAATTACTTTTGGAAACATACTTAATAGTTGTTTCCCTTGTCTACTTAGCGACTACAAATGGGAAGTAAATTACGGAAATTAATATTAAATATTAAATATGGAAGTAGAGGAACCTGGACACCGTACGTTTATGTCTTGCAAAAAATGAACAGAGGGTTTTAAACATCGATTCTACATCGCACTAAGAGAGATAACTATGCAATATTTAAAATAAAGAAAAAAATAATGAATTATGGAACTTTGTATAAATAAATTAATAAAAGCTGTTTTGTAAAAAAATATTAAATATACACGCTGTATTTCTCGTATTTCTTGAGCAAATGACATTAAAAAAAAAGAAAAAAATCTTTCGCTATTTTATTATTTGCTTATTAAAACAATATTTCATTTTACTTTTATTAGGTAGGCTTTGTAGCATCTGGACTTTTTATGCAGAAAAAAGTCATATATGATAGACCGGTGCACGGGTGGTTATGAAGTTGGATAATCTCCCACCACCTTCCTCACCACCACCTCTACTCTACACTATACAAACACACTCATCCTTAAAATATACCATCACCACCACCCTCACCATTAAAATACACCACCACCATCACCACAACCTCAATGTTACACCATACCACCACCATCAACACTCTTAAACCATACCACAACCACCACCATCATCACCACCTCACCCCTACGCCATACCACCACCCTCATCCTTAAAATAAACCACCACCATCACATCCACCTCACCCCTACACCATACCACCACCCTCATCCTTAAAATATACCACCACCATCACCACCACCCTCTCTCTTACACTTTACCACCACCCTTACCACCACCTCACCCACACACCATCTCGTCTCACCCATACACTATACCAGCATCCCACCTGCATATCACATGTACACTACACAACCACCCTCACCCAACCCCCACCTTCACAGCACCTCCACACTATACCCCCACCTCCACCTCTCCCACCCCTACAATCTTCACGTTTTAAAAACACAGCACACGAAAAACACCACATTTACAGAATTCCACTCATGACGTCAGCAGTTATCTTCCCCTGCATCCACTCTACCCCTCACCTCCCCCACCCCCACACTCCCACACCACCCATGCATAGTTCGTACCTGAGCTCCATCAGGAGAATTACACAACACAGTTTTACACACACCGAATATCCAAGCGACCTTATATCCAATTCTCATCTATTATCGCCTATATAATACTATTCGATGTGGTTCTTCTCTTTATCTATACATCGTAGTGACATCCGCTATGTTTGCGATTGAAAATGAATTCACTAAAAGGTAGTATGTAATAGGTGATCAAATGGAAGTCTGCACAAGGGCGTAGCGAGGGGGGGGGGGGTGCGGGGGGTGCGGATCGCACCGGATGACACCATTTAGGGGGGGGGGGTGACACCAAGGCAAAAAATAGCAACATATATAGAGAAAAACTTGAGGGGGGGGGGGGTGAAAATCGAAATCCGTATGTTAAGGACGCCCTTATACTACAGGTGTGTGTAGCCTAATTAACTGTTTTTTTACGGCACCGTGATCGCCTGATCCTGGGACGTTCCAATGATTTGAACCCGGATTCAAACTCTACGTCTCTCTTGTTGGAAGTCTAGCTCTCTACCGCTAGGCCACGCCGTCCCATAAGCTATGGGCTGCCGAAAAGTCCGAAGTTCTAACCCCGGGTGGGTGAGGCTCGTTACTTGAAGACAGCAGCCCTGAGGTGTAGCGACCCTTCCCGGCGCCCGGGGACAAACTTTCGATTAGCATCCCCCCTCAAACTTTCGATTTGCACCCCCCACCCCCACAAACTTTCGATTTGCACCCCACCCCCCTCAGACTATCAATTACTTTTTCCAACCCATTTTGGCGCCCCCTAAGGCCGGCGCCCTGGGACATATGCCCCCCCCCCCCTGCCCCCCCCCCCCCCCCCCCGTCGCTACGCCTCTGCAGCAGCCCATCTAGGAGAGACAACTCCAAAATCAAACAGCTGCTGCTTTGTAATTTGTTCTTGGTTGGACAAAGGCTATGGAAGTAAATCCAAAAAGAAAAGCGGGCTGAAATAGGAGTCAATGGTATGGCATGGCACATAACAACTGGACACATAATGCTTAAATGTGGTACAGGAAATCCCTTCCAACAATTGAAATAGAACGAAGATGAAGATAGTTGAATTATTATAAGTTTCAAATAACTTGAAAAAAAATCTAGTATTAATTTATATGTTTGTAGCATACAAAATAGATAATGACACACTTTGTGTTTAGAATTTAATACGTAGTTTTAAACTAACTGAAATAATCTCTAAACATCATTACAACATAGAAATCTGTAAGCAGTAGAATCGCTAAAAACAAACAAAAGAACCATATCAGAAAAAAAATCCATAAAGTTTGTTGCATGGCTACATTTTTGTATACCTATTATGGCTGTTTTGTATTTTGACGCTGGTGAAGTTAAGAAGTTAGAGAACATCCAACAGCCTAGGTAGTATCATCGTCTGATTTGCTCCACTTTTCCATGGTAGATGACATAATCAGAAGCCTGGGTCGCCCCCCCCCCCACCCCCACCCCCACACCCACCGCACTACTCCGTAATTGTGGGCATCATCTCACGCAAAAACAAAAACAAAAACGCCCCGACGCCCTCTCAACACGTTTCACCATTGCCAGGTCAGACAAATCTCCACAAGTGGTTCAACAATATGTCTTTAAATACGCATTTAAAACAATCCGAAATGAAGGTGCCGTTACCCATAGTTACCCCTCCCCATCTCAAAACTAAAAAGAAAACGCCCCTGCTCCCTTACCATCACGTTAAGCCATTTACACGTTGGAAAAGTCAAATCCAATCTCTTAACACGATTTTAAACACGCTATTTCCGTTTTCATTAAAGCAATGAATTCTGGGTCGCATCACCCTCATACACCGACCCCCCTCGCACCTCCCCTAGTTACGCCACTGTCGGGAAAGATAAAACAACCCTAACCGTCCAATAACCGGTCCCATTGTTTTAAACAGAACCCCCCCCCCCCAGCGCCCAGGGAGGGAACTCCGGCGTTCACCTTTACCTGTCTGTGCTCACGGCCGCGGGGCTACAGCCAACATGCACCGCTCACCTTCAGCCGTGTGCGATAACGGTCTGCTGTAAAGGGGAGGTAATCTTCACGTGCAGGCAGGGGCGAAGCTCATTGTGGATGATTGTGGGACTGAAGAAGGGGTGGCTTTTGTTTTTTAATAAAATAATTGAGTTTTATCTGTAGGGATGGCGTTGTCTAGCGGTAGTCCGCTCGCCTCTTATTCCGAAATCACGAGAGTTCGGATCCCACGAGGCCGTAGGTCATCCCTTGACCTAACTGCCTCTCAAGTCCAAACCAGGTGCAAGAAGCAAAAGCCAGGTCTAAACTCACGTGCCTAACAGCTGGTAACACGGGTAGAAGACATGCTCGATTTTTAACCCTTAAGTGCATCGCGTTGCATAGCTGCAACACTCATTACTGATTAGTTTTTTTTTTATAAAACTTAAAAGAGCATGAGGCATGGCGTTCTGGATATTAAGATGCTTGCACATGCCTAGCTCACCAACATGTAAATTTCTAGCAAATTAACCCTGTTATATTCTGCCTAGCTACTGATTAATATCTAGAACTTGTAATGTTAGTATATGATAGTGATTTCCATGTGTAAATATTGTTGATTTTATGTTAACACCGGACATTGCGGTTTGATTTCATGTGAAGTTAAATGTTGATCTTTCAAGGATGCCTGGGATGAGAACTAGGACCAGAATATAGTCAGTTATCTCTAGTGGAGGTGCCAATTACAAGTCTCAAAATATGTTGGTCGTGTCTTCTGCAGTAAAAACTACCGATATTGGTAAATTTTGCCTGGTTCCATATACTTATTCTCTTTGCTCTGTTGTTTAACTTATCTTCTACATGTTGTGTGTGCATGTACATGTGCATGTGCATACTTATATATATATATATATATATATATTTCTCTCTCTCTCTTTCTCTATCTCTATCTATCTATCTATCTTATATATACACATAAACACACTCTAAAAAATCAAACAGCTGTTGCCTCGAAGTTTGTTCTTGAATGGACAAAAGCTATGAAAGTAAATCGAGACAGAAAAGCAGGCCGATATCACGATGACACATAATTCTTAATTTTGTCGAAGGAAATCGCTTCCAATATTAGAAAAAAAAATTAGAAGATTTAACCAAATAAATATGCAAAATTCCATCAAGGTTATTCCGGCAGTCACACCCCTTCACCGGTGCCGCCCTCGAGCTTCTGCTTTTCTCGAACCATCTCTTCATGCCAGGTACAGGTAAAGTTCTCTGGGATCTTGCAGGCACCAGAAGGTGAGGTAAACACCAACCCGTGCCAGCGCCTCCCCGCCGACGTAAAAATTCTCCTCTAACCCGCAGAGCCGGCGACGTGTGCGAGGGTACCTGTGCGTGAGTGAGTGGTGCGCGTGTGCCGCTGTGAGTTTTAGACACGGGAGTGAGCCATTTTGTGTTGGAAAAAGCGGTAGAGCTGAATCGAGGGTTGTTTTTTTTTCCTAGATGGGGGGATGGCGTAGTTGAACCACACGCCTGGTCCGCGGAGACTTTAACCTCTGAAGCAGTGACAATTTAATTAATTAATTAGAGCAATTAATACAGTGAGTAGTAAACACAAAACAAAAACAACAACAAAGATGGTCGGATCACGTCTAAATGTCCATCTCTACCGCGATTCCTTCAACACCCCCTGGGGTTTTCGTCTCCAGGGTGGGAAGGATTTGAACCAACCTCTAATTGTCCAAAGGGTAAGTCGTTATATTTTTTTTTTATCTTCTTCTCCTCGGTTCTGTATACCTACCTGTGTCTTCACTGCCAACAAGAGTGCTGTTACCTTTTATAGGGACAGTGCAGGTGAAAGAGAGATGTGTTAAGGGAGAGAGGGGGGTGTCTTCCTTCCGAGTTTACCTGTGTAAACACCAGCGCGTGTGTTGAATCGTTTTGTTTATTTTTATCCTCGTCCCCCCATCCCCCCGAAATTTAACCACCACCAGTCACAAGGTTTCTAAAAGTTCGCTACCCCTTCTCACAGTAGTGGCGTCATCCTTTAGTGAAAGTCACTTTTTTTTTTTCGTCAAGAGTCACACTGTCGCCACTTACAACAACTTTTCGGATTGTGTAAATTTTTTTTTTCGCCTTAAGTATATTTTTTTTTGTTTGTTTACAAACAAATAAACAGGTAGGGTGAGTGCATCTTGATCAACAAGGTCAACATTTTAGACGTGTGCTTTTATTAAAACGCTGCTTTTGCAACAAGCAAAAACTTCAATATTTCTTTTACGAAACAAATTTTAATTTATTTTTATTTTTTTAAACAAACTTAACATATTTTAAAATCTGTGTTGATAAATTTTAGAAATGCATTCTGTTGATCAAAAAAGACAGCTGAAGTGTAATTAAAACTTTATATTCAGTCTGAAAATAAGATAAAAAAGGTTATTAAAATTTCAACCTTTCAACAAATCTCTTTCATCTTTAATTAACATTCCGGTTTATGACTACTCACCTTCGCCACAGGTAAAAAAAGCAAGAACTTATAAACTGCTAATTAAATTTATCGAAACCCCCTCCTGTGCTGGTTTACTTACCTTTAACTTCTGCTTTCACTAACGCCAGACTGATCTAGATGCTAGCTTGTTGCCATAGTAACTAACACACGTTCTTAACCACGCTCTACTTAAAACCTCTGCCGTCATCGTTCACTGTTGGGATTACCCGATGCTCAAAATAAGTCCGACCTTTAACCTTTAAGAAATATGGGCTTCTGTATAAGCACATATACCCTCTCCTGGAAGCATTTTTTTTTAATTTACAAGAAATGCATGCACGTGAAGATAATACTCACACGGAGAATCAACTAGACGAGTACTGCAAGAGAAAAAAAAATCGAAGATTGTAGGTGGTTTTTCCTTCAGGTGCGAAACCAAGGAAACAAAGCATGGCTTTATCGGGATGACCTTTCGACGCGAATTCCTCTGGAAATGCATCGCAGAGCTCAATGACGCGGGCACGTGATTTATCTGTCGTGCGGCGTGCCAGGATGGAGGGATCAAATCCAGTTGAGGAGAAACAGAAATATTGCTTGCTCTTAGGTCAGCTAACGTATGGAAGGTACCCCTTTCCAAGAAGAAATTAAGTAGAGTTCGTGTTTCTTTTGAAACACTGAATATATTGAAAGTGTGTCGTCAGATTTATGTGAAGCACAAACTAGCTTTCAGACATTTTCTTCCGGGGTAGAACGGGCACTTTAAACTTCCGGGTAGGGGGGGGGGGTGCGGAGAGGACGGTGGTTAATTCTGTTACAGGAAACCCCTTCCAACACTAAAACGAAGATGGTTAGATTAAGAAGTAAGAGAAAGACAACCAACCTATGTAGTGTCACCGTCAGATTTGCGCCATTTTTCCATGGTAGATATTTTTTCTATATAAATTATATATATATATATATATATATATATATATATATATATATATATATATATATATATATATATATATATATATATATATTGTCCGATGGGCGATGGACTTGTTACAGTTCCCGAGGGAGTGGTTTGGGTAATTAACTCAATCACTTCCCGAAGACATGCCCGAAAGGCACTCTGTTCTAGTCCATTTCGTCGACTTAAGTGGGAAAGCCATTAAAATGGGTAGACTTAGACCAGTACTTCAGACTCAAGCCAAATCTAAACAATCACGTCATTTACCATTTTAGCATGACGTTCCTATTTCTAGCTTTTTATTTGACGTTTAAAAAATAAATAAAAACGTTATTAGAAATCAATAACCATGTTCTAGGGGGGGGGGGCATCCATATATGACGTCACGCTTTTTTGGACGATTATTACCTCCCCCCTCCCCTCCGACACACGTCGTCACAAAAAGCCAGACCCCCCTAAAATGACGTCACACCTCAGCCTACAACCCCCATCAAAATTGCAGTTGACTTTTTTTTAAACAGCTATATTTTTCCAAAATCTTGTCTGAACTCTGTCAAAATAGAGTATTTTAATCAATCAGTTTTCTAAAGCGCAAAATAACGTCTAAAATTAGTTTTCTAACATTGCTTTTTAATAATGCAAAAGTGTGACGTCACACCATCTGAACCTCCCCCCTCCCCCTCATCACACACCGTCACAAAATTACGGACCCCCCCCCCCCCTCACCCCTACCAGTGTGGCGTCATTTATGGACGACCCCTTACCTGATTTTGACATGTACAATGAGATATAGTCTCTAAGTTATGGAACCATATATTATGTGTATTTCCTTATTAAACACACACAAAAATTATTCAGTAGGCCTGCAATATATCGCATATTAAAATCCTCTTAATAATAAAATTAAATATGTCTTTTCAAACTAATTTAATGCACCATGAATTAATTTCCATTAAAAAATTTTACTGTAAAAACTTCTATACAACGGCGTCCTACTGGCATACAAGTCTTTATCGTTCAGACAATCAGAACGCTGACAGATAGCTCTGTTTTCATGACAGATTGTCCCAATTAAATTATCCAATTTTCTGCTCACCACGCAATTTCCTGCACTCAACCCGGACTCACCTGAGCACCTGAGTTCTTCTATGCTGGCATTATGTCTTGTTGCTATGACAACCGCGTCTACATAGGTGCTCACCTTCACAAAACCTTCCCGTTGCTCTTTAGCCTAGATCTTCGTAGTACCATCGGAATTATTTCAGTCTCCCGAAACTCTTTAGCCTAGATCTTAGAAGTATCATTGGAATATCTACAGTCTCCCTGAACTATTTAGCCTAGATCTTCGTAGTACCATCGGAATATCTTCAATCTTCCTAAACTATTTAGCCTAGATCTTCGTAGTACCATCGGAATAACTACAGTCTTCCTAAACTATTTAGCCTAGATCTTTGGATTGCCATCGGAATATCTTATCTCCCTATACTCTTTAGCCTGGATCCTAGATATTACATTAACATTGAAACAGCATCAGTCTTCATAAACAACTTTGCCTAGATCAGTTTCACTCCGGTATCTCTTTCCCCCATTCACCCCACTCGAACAAAATTCTTAAAAATGTAGAAAATATATTTTTAACAAATGCAATACCTCCCCCCTAAGTGCCCCTCTTCAGGAGTAAATTGTATGAAAGAAACGCTGGCCTAGATTTTAGAGTAAAGTCGGAACACCCTCCGTTTCTAATGCCACCTTAACCTAGATTGTTCAGTAATATTAGAACATCTTTAACCTTTCTTACCTATTTAGCCTAGATAATGTTGTAATCCCATCCTTAGAATCCGTCTTTAATATCTACTTAACCTAGATATTACAGTAACAGTAACCCTAGCACAGTCAGTCTTCCCTATCGGCTTAGTCTAAATATTTTTCAAACAGCCGTCTTGGATAATAAATCACCTTAATGTGCTCTGTAGCAGACACGTTTTATCTATGTCCGTGATGTTCCTCATTGTTAGAATAGGTGTGTGTACGACCTATAATCGTATTTCGGCGTTACCTGTGTGTGAGTTGCATTAAACGCACCGTTAGGCACCTTATCGTTTTCGTAGCTGATGCGGGAAACGATAGCGAATGTGCTACGGTATATCTAGACAATCTGTGCGTCTAATAATTAAAGATCGTATTTTAAGCACTTAGCTTAATTTGGGTTTCATTGAAGACTTCAGATTCGTATACCATCCAGATTTTTGGGTTTGCTTTAACGTTTTAGCTTCGAAAAGTTCCCAGATAAATCCTAATCTTTTTGGAAGATTTCAGCATCGAATAGCATCCAGATAAAACTGGATTTTCATTGAAAATTCCAGCCTCGTAATGCACCGAGATAGTGGTCTAGCGGTAGAGAGCTGGACTGCTAACCCGTAAGTCTCGAGTTCGAATCCGGGTTGAAGTCAGTAGACCGTCCCTGAGTCCACCCAACTCTGATGGGTACCTAACTCACGTTAGGGAAAGTAAAGGCGGCTAGGCATAGTGCTGAGCACACTATCTCTTCATATGCCGAGGTCACAGTAACAAGTGAACTCTACTTCACTTGCCCCATAGACCCTCAGGTTTGAAAGGGATACTTTACTTTAATGCACCGAGATAAATTTGGGTTTTATTGACGATTTCAGCCTTGCACAGCACAAGGAAATTCCGGCTTTTCTTGGTGATTTCAGCTTCGTATAGCACCCAGCGAAATCTGGGTTTTCTCGAAAAGGTTTTATCCTTGAACACATTGTAAATCATAGTAGACCCATTTTAATTAATATAACATGCAGAAAATTAATTAAACCAATTAACCCCCCCCCCCCAAAAAAAAACTAAAAAAAAAACCAAACTACAAAAAACAATCAACCGGGAGTGATCTCCCCTAAACTTTCTCGAATATTCTAATATAACACTACGGGGGATGGCAACTCGGGATATAGACTTCTAGACATGATTTTTAATCCATTTTAAATACTCACATTTTTTAACATCTAATATATAAAGCTCAGTTCTGTAACGTGTGGCAAAAAAGTTTGTCGTTGACACTTCTATGGATTTAAGTGTTAGATTTTTTATCGTGCTCATAGTCTAAATTTACGAGTCAAAAAATTACCATTGAAAGTCTTTAAAAACAATTTTCATTCTATTTACTTAGAAGAATAATTTTCAATTATGAACGCGACATAAAATTTTTAAAAAGTGTATCGACGTTTATAAAATTTCTAAAATTGTGTCGGAAATGTATTGACTGCACAGTTTCTTCCCTTTAATAAAAAAACTTCTTAAGAAGAAAGAATTTACATTTTATTACTTTGTTTTTGGTGTTAAGAAAAAAAAATAATTACATAATTAGCGGGGATTGATTAAGTGCAATGTCGTTAGGTATTTTTAACACTGCCTTTTATTTATTCTATACACTGAACATACTGTTCAATATTTTTTTTTAAATCAATAACATTTAATAAGCCAGGTCCTACAAATCCTATATGTTTATTTCTTTCCATTTACGGATAAGCTTGGAGTATTATCATTTTTGTTCACTAAATTGAAACAGGCGCGTCCGCCGGCGCCCTTGCACGGTTCGATTTGGCACCCTGGGCTATCATGTGAGCGCTATGCTGCATAGTTTTGTTTTTAACAGTGCGATAGACTATGGGTAAGAAAGGTTACTATAGTCTTTAAGTGAATCAAATCCGGGCGTCCTCCGGCACCCCGACAGGGTGCTATTTGGCGCCCCGGGCCTTCCGGTGTACGCTATGGTATATACGTTCGCGTGAGTTCAAAAGACTATGAATAAGTTATGTACTATAGTCGTTTACTAAGTTCAATCAGGCGGTGACGTCATGGTGCGTCCTCTGGCGCCCAGACAGGGTGCTATTTGGGGTCCCGGGCCTCCCGTGTTCGGTTTCGCGCCTACGTTCATTAAAGTGAGTGCAAAAGACTATGAATAAGTTGGGGTACTATAGTCGTTTATTAAGCTGAAACAGGCGATTCCGCCCCGGGCTAGACTCTGAGCACTGTGCGTTTATGTTCGCGTTAGTGTTTTCTTTGTGTTTAGGTTGGGTTTGCGTTAGTGGTTGCGTTTTGATTTGGTTCGTTTTTGTTCTTTCTTTTTTCGTTTTCGTTTGTGTTTTATTTTCTTTGCGTTTGTGTTTGTATTTGTGTTTGTGGTTGGTTTTGCGTTTGTATTTGGTTTGTTTTCGTTTGTTTTTTCGTTTGTGTTTTTTTCTTTGGGTTTGTGGTTGGTTTTGCATTTGGATTTGGTTTGTTTTCGTTTGCTTTTTCGTTTGTTTTTTTCTTTGTGTTCGTATTGGTGTTTGTGGTTGTGGTTGGGTTAGTTGTTAGGTTTTTGTTTTCGTTTGTATTTGTAATTGTGTTAGCGTTATGTTTGCGTTTTGTTGTTTTGGTTTTGGTTTGGGTGTGCAATGCCGGGTTTATGATGATTACTA